ACTAGAATTTCAAAAGGATGCTCTTTTATATATTCCACATTGTTGTATCTCCATATACACGTGCAATATCTTGAGAGTTTAGCTTTCAATTGAGAATATTGAAATCTTGATATTGTAAACATATTCATTATTGATTATGGTAAAATTTTCACCTTCTTGTAGTTTTTTCCCGTCTTGGATTTCCACAAAAATCTTGATATTTTCATTTGTTCTTGTTTATTTTTTTTATTACCAGTATATTGCAATCAATTCATAACATAACTCATTATGTAATCCCTAATGTATATATAGCAAGATTCATAATTTAAATATCAATTTCATTAAGATGGGTTATTGTAGGAGAAAACCATCGACTTCTACGATGGATAGATGAATGGATGGTAAGTGATTTCTATACTATATCAAAGGGCTCATACAAAATTCGTACAAAATTTCCTGTAGAATTTTCTCTCTCAAAATTGAAAGTCCTTTTTTTTTTTCGTTTAGTGTCATAAAGTGGGCATATAATGCTTGTTGGTAGTATGAGGATTCATTTTTACTGTAGATTCTCAATTATGTCTAACATAGCTGAAAGTGTTTATTTTAATGTCCAACATTTTTATATATTTTTTCAGACCAAACTTTTTGAAACTTTTTGAAAGAAACTTTAACTTAAACTTAACGATTTGGTCTAATTTTAAAATGAGATTTCGCCGTACCTTCTTCTTCTTCTTTTTTTTTTTTTTTTTTTCTTTAATGTTATTACTATGGCGGTTTTTGCTTATACCATCATCACCTTTGCAATTTTTCTTTTCTCTAGGGTCTCTTAGGTTTTAATGTTCACGTATGATCAGAATAGGCAACAATGTTTTTCTTTCTTTCCTCATGACTTGAAAAAGTGTTTTTTTTAAGGGCATTTTCGTTGACTAATATTTTTCTGCTCCCTCTTTCTCCAACCAAGATCCTTTATATTATGTTTTAAATCACTTTTTATATTGTGTCACGTGACGTACATGATTGAACAGTTTTTAAAAAAACACACTTTTTCGTCTAACACTTTTTAAATTTCAACACAAATGTCAAAAAAGATGTAAACAATTGTACACTTTCATAATTCTAAATCATACGTCACTGCCGCACCATCTTTTACTTTCTTTTCATGTGAGACATGTTAACTCGTGAATATAGAATCGACTAAATAAATTCTTTTTTATTTTTATTTTTATTTTTGAGACTTTAGTTCACGAGTAGAGTGATGACTTAAATTGTTAGTCTTCTAGTAGCCAATTTTTGGTATCCATTAAAATTTTCATTCTCATTCTTCCACTCATTTTCAACCACACATTTTTCATTAAAATAATATTTTCCATCACATCAATAACTTTTCCTTCTTTTTCAACTATACATTCTCCATCAATCTACTATTCCAAAATACATTCTTCCAAAATAATGTGGCTCAAACACACCCTAAGTTTAGAATGCGACAAAATTGACATGTGTTATAAATGTGATGAATAATATTTACCGCGTGTGCA